GTGTGCCATAGTTACAGAAAGAGAAAATCTGGCATTGGCCAAGACCTGTGCCTTTTTAAAAGCCATCCTCTTTTTAATTTTTTAACTTATATTTAAAAATTTTGTTTTGTGTCTTCATGTGTTTGTGTTATGCCATGACATGCATATAGAGAGGTTCAGAGGACAACTTGTGGGAGATAGTCTTCTCCTTCTACCATGTGGGTCCTGGGGATTGAACTCAGGTCACCAGGCATATACAGCAAGTGCTTTTACCCACTGGGCCACTCTGTTGGCCCCCTACCAGCTTCTTTAAAACTTTTTTTTTGATTTATTATATTTTGTGTGTATGAGTGTTTTGCCTGCATGCATGTAAGTGAACCCATGTCATGCAATGCCTGCAAAGGCCAGAAGAGGGCATGGGAGCCCCTGGAACTGGAGTTTCAGATGGTTAGCAGTCATGTGGTGCTGGGAATTGAATTCAGGTATTCTACAAGAACTTGTACTTAAGAGTTCATACTGCTCTTACAAAGGACCCAAGTTGGGTTCCCAGAACCTATGTTGAGCAGCTCACAATTGCCTTGAACTCCAGCTCCAGGGGGCTGACACCCTCTTCTGGACTCCAAGGCCCTTGCACACACACACACACACACACACACACACACACACACACACACACACCTAACAAAAATATATTGAATCTTTAAATGTAAATGGTCTAAATAAAAGACAGATCGATGGAATAGAATAAAAACATGACCTGACATAGGTGGGTTGGATGGAAAAAGACAGAAAAAGATAAATCACACAACTACAACCCAATGAAGCAGAGTGGCTATGTTAATGTCATATAGATGTCAGAGCAAGAAAATTACCAGAGAAAAAGAAGGACTTTTATTACTTTCTAGCCTACCAAGAAGCCACAACAATCCTTACTTTGTGAGATGGAATAGCAGGGATGCCAAGTATAGGAAGCAAATGGACAGAACTGAAAGGAGACATTGACATGTATACAGTTCAAGTTGAGACTTCAATATTCTCTTGTCAACAGTTAGTAAAATAATGAAATAGAAGATCATGGGTATAGAACTCAGCAGTAACATCAACCACAGGGCATCATTGCTGTTTGTAAAATGCTCCATTCAACAACAGTGTAATATACATTTTTCTTAAGTGCCCATAATCATAAACATGCATGCAATACCTGTGGAGGCTAGAAGAGGGTGTTAGACCCCCTGGAACTGGAGTTACAGATGATTGTTAGCTGCCATGTGGGTGCTGGGAACTGAACCAGGGTCAAGAGCAGTCAATAAAAACATTATCAGCATGTGTGTGTGCATATATATATATGCACACACACATCTCAGTTGGTAGAGAGCTTGCTTAGTGTACATGAGGCCCTGGGTTCAATATCCAGCACTACATAAACCATGCACAGTGGTATATCCTATAGTCCTAGTATTTGGAAGGTAGAGGCAAGAAGATCAGAAGTTCAAGGTCATCCATGGCTACAAAGCAAGCCTGAGGCCAGCATAGGCTACATAAGACCCTGCCTCAACAACAACAACAACAAACAAACAAAAAATAGAAAGGTAATGTAATCAAAATAGATAACTTTCCTCTATATTTTGAGTGTAGAATTGCTTTGAAATATTGTTTTAGAAACAAGAATATAGTGGGTGGGCAGGTGCCATGATTTCAAACTTGTATGTGGCTGTCGTAATCATGACAAATCAGTGGAACAAAAGAGAAAAATCCAGAAATGGACCCACACAAGAAGGTGCAGAGGAAATTCAGTGCAGTTGAAACAGCCCACTAAACACATGGTGGAGTACTGGACATCACTGGGGAAAACCTCAACTGAATCTCACACTTTATATAAAAATAAACTCAAAGTAGATCATGAATTTAAATGTAAAAGTGAAAGTAAAACATTTAGGAAAAATGTAGAAAACCTTTGAACCTAGGGCTAGGCAGAGAGCCCTTAGCCTTGATACCAAGTAAACGACCTATAAAAGGAAATTTATAAGTTGGAATGCACAACTTCCGCCTGTGAAAACACAGGTATGAATGAAGAGACACAGCCACCTGGAGAAGAGATTTGAAAAATACACATCTGACCAAGGGTTGAGCATGTGTAGGACTCTTCAGATTCAATCACAGAAAGTAAGTCATCCCACGGTTAGAACATGGTAGAAAGATATGAGGAGGCATTGCCCCGAAGCAGGCATTGCCCCAAGCAGAGGTTCTGCTGCACACTAACCCACAGGAAGGTGCTTGTGTGGTCAGCCCTCAGGGAAATACAAACAAAACCACAAAGAAGGAAATCATTCCATTCCATTTTCGGGAAAACAGTGGAGATCATCATGTTAAGTGAAATAAGCCAGACTAGAAAAGCCAAATAGCGTACGTTTTCTGTCATACGCAGAATTTAGATGAAACAGAGATCCTTCCAGAGATGTTAAATTACCAAAGCGACTATTTGAGAAGAAGACCAGTTGGGGCGGGGGGCGGAGAGGTCAATAGGTGGTATAAATATGTTCAGAGTACATTACACATATATGAAAAGGTCACAATGAAACATGTTTTGTACAATTAATGTACAAAATGAAAAACAATACTAGGACAGAATGGCCAAAGTACAAGCAGAGGCTGCACCAATCCTAGCAAGGATGTGGGCATCTGGCTGCATGAGCTGCGGCTGGGAAAGGAGACAGGCACATCCCCAGAGATCTGTTTGTCAGTTTCTTAGAGTAAACATGCAGCTACTTAGACTAACACTCTTGGTCATTTATTCCAGAGAAGTGAAATTTACACTCACATAAAAATACACAGTAATGTTTATAGTAACTTTATTTATAATAGGCCAAGCCTAGAAAGAAGCCACATGCCCTTCTGTGGATGACTAGTTAGACCATAGAGTATCTGCATCATGGAACATGGGACATGACTAAGTAAGAAAGAAGGAGCTGTGGGTACTTGTCATCGACCTCCAGAGAATTCCCTGAAGGAAAAAACCAGTCCCCAAAGAGTCTATGCTGAGGGACTCCCCCTCATAGAGCAACCTTCCAGTGGCACAGTGTCATAACAGAGGGCAGACCTGTGGTCCCCAAGGGCTAAGGGTGTGGGAGGGGCTGGGAGTGTCTAAAGGTTTCTTGATCCATGGGTATCCTGCATTCACTACTTCCAAGTTAGGCAGCTACTGAGATGCTGTTTAGGGAGCTGTTATTGAGGGGCTCCCCTCTCTCCCTGACCCCCCATATTTGCATGTGTAGCTGTCATTATCTTAAAAGTTTAATTGGAAAAGGATTTCCAGAGATGAGTTTGGGAGATACTGTATACCATGCCCCTCTGAGAGAGTTTTCTTCAAAACCTCTGAACAGTCCTGGACTAGAAAACAAACACATCCAACATCAATGGCCAAATTCTCTCCAGCATGGGAGGGCATGGGTCAGTTCCTTCTACAGGGGACTTCCTGGTATGGACCCAGCCTAAAGTTATCCCCCTCAGTCCTGAGCCTCACATGGTCCTGACTTGTGACTTCTATGTCAGTTACCTGGGAGCCTGTCAGAGAGGGGAGTCTGAGCTTTACCTAGGCCTTCTGAGGCAGATGGACTGTGGATTTTAACTCTCTGGGTAGCTCTCCAGGCAAGGTAATCCATGAGAACCATGTCCCCTTTGATTTTGAACAGTGCAGGAGGAGTTAGCTGTGGTCCGTGCAAGGTCACCAGCTGCTAAGTGGCAGGGCTCGGACTAGCACAGGTCACCTAGGGACAGCAGGATGTCATTCACCTCAAATATTTACTCACTAATCTGCCATAAGCCCTTGCTAGGAGGTGGGGGTAGGGTATAGGGTGCTTACCCACAGGGTCTCGTTTTACCTCAGTCATGACAGAAGACCCTGTCTCTTCCTACAGAACCCCACTCTCCTCCAGAGAAGGCAGGCAGGCTGGACACTCCTCTAGACTCCTGACTTGGGCATGCTTCCATTTTGTGATGCTTCCCTTCCTCCTTCCTGTAAGTGCTCACTCTGTGGCTCTTCCTGTCAGGAACACTTATTGTGTGCTGGAACACAAGATACAGTGCCTGGGAGGAGCTGGTATGCCCATTGAGTCTACAGTGTCCCCAGGTGTGTCCTGGATGTGATTGGTGTTTGAGCTGGGTTCTGAGTGTGCCCCGGGTGTGTCCCACCTCTTTTAAGCCTGTTTCAACTGTGTTCTGCCTGAATCCCAGCTATGCCCCAGATGCATCCCAGGCTGGCGTCTCACAAATTTGCTGGCTTTTGGGGGTAGGGTGGGGGCTCAATGTCGGGGAGCTCTGTGGGTCTATTGCTCTCCATCCTTGTCCCCTAACCATCTTGTGGCAATTCTGCTTCAAAGACAAGGCTTATTCATTGCTCAGTGAGTGCCCGTCCATGGTCTCACTTACTGACACCCTAGGGAAGTGGGGAAGTCATTCATTGTGGGGTTTTCCCTCTATAGCCCTGTTATCAGGAGGTTTGCTTTTCACCTGCTTCTGCCTTAAAAATAAAAATTAAATAGAGTGGGGGAAAAAGCCAGCCATCTTTCTAAAAAGAGACTTCTTCTGGGACTGCCCTCCACTTATGACCCAAATCCTAGGAGGACACAGACAGCTCCTGCCCACCTGCCGAGGGAAGGATGGGGCAGCTTTCAAGCAGCTTCCAGGAGCCTGGGGTGCGCCCTACCCATGGGAACTTGAAGGCAGCCCCCAAGGGGAGAGAACCAAGCTGAACTGTAATCTGACTTAGAGAAGCTTAGGAGATTGTCTTTTTCTGGCACCTGCTAGTCACCCCTAAGGTGTCCTTGGTGACCCCAAGGCTGGGATTTACTGGACACTATGTCAATCCTGGCCTTCCTGGGCTTCTTAGTGGGTCCCCAGGCATCTTCACTACAATTAGATGCCTCCCCTGCCCTCCAAGGGCAGGAACAAGCCATAGGCCAAGGGTATAGGGTCAGGCCTGCACAGGCTGAGGGCGTTTGGTCTCAGCTGATGGTTTCTAACACTTGAAGTGGATACCTAGCAGCACCAGGATGGATTTCGGGTCCTTAGAGACTGTGGTAGCCAACTCTGCCTTCATTGCTGCCCGAGGCAGCTTTGATGGAAGCAGCGCCCCATCCTCCCGGGACAAGAAGTACTTGGCCAAACTCAGGCTGCCCCCGCTGTCCAAGTGTGAGGGTCTCCGTGACAGACTCAGCCTGGAGTTTGAAAGCCTGTGCTCAGAGCAGCCCATTGGCAAGAGGCTGTTCCAGCAGTTCCTGAAGACAGACGAGAAGCACGTGCCAGCCCTGGAGCTCTGGAAGGACATCAAGGACTATGACACAGCTGATGATGACTTGCGGCCTCAGAAGGCACAGGCCATCCTGGACAAGTACCTGAACCCACAGGCCTCACTCTTCTGCAGCTTCCTGGACCAGGACATGGTGGCGAGGGTGAAGGAAGGGCCGACCAGAAGCCAGGACGGCCTCTTCCAGCCCCTGCTGCAGGCCACACTGGCTTACCTGAGCCAGGCTCCCTTCCAGGAGTACCTGGACAGCCTGCACTTCCTGCGGTTCCTGCAATGGAAGTGGCTGGAGGCCCAGCCCATGGGCGAGGACTGGTTCTTAGACTTCAGGATTCTGGGGAAAGGGAGCTTTGGGGAGGTATCTGCCTGCCAGATGAGGGCCACTGGCAAGATGTATGCTTGTAAGAAGCTCAACAAGAAGCGACTGAAGAAGAGGAAAGGGTACCAGGTAGGAGGCCTAGGCAGCAGATGGATGTGCTCAGGTTTCAGGTGGCTGGAGGGATGATGGACAGTGGGCTGTAGGCTGCCCACCAAGAGCTCTACATAGGCCTTAGCTGCCTCACATGCCCTGCCATTTGGACCCTCCTGGCTCAGGTAGCTCTTGGCAGGGCCTTAGTCCATCTGCCCCATGTTCAGGAGCAGTTTGGGGGAGAGCCAACTGTAGGGAGCTGCTATCTGGAGCGTGCAGCTGTCTGGAAACCTTTCTTCAAAGCATGGCTCACATTGTGACCACATACAGGAGGACGTAGGGCAGAACCTTGTCAGTCTGAGTATCACTTTGATGGGCACTGTTTATAAAAGGTGGAACCCATCTGTGCTGTTGGGGCCTGGGACTGTTTTTCCCAGGCTCCAGCACGTTTCTGGAGGAGAGTGAGTGGAGGGTACAGGCAGTCTGCTGGCATTTTATTCCCTCTGCTTTTGGCACTGGTGTTTAGTTAGAGCAGGATCAGTGAAAGCCGCTTAGCATCTGAGGAACACAGGCCCCCCGGCCCCAGCCTTGCTGAACAGTAGCTCTGTGAAGCTCTTAGGGGTGGATAGCCCCTGTCCCCCACTGCCCCAGCAGGCCACCGATCCTTTAGTGAGAGGTCAAACATGAGGTACAAACAGCAAGTGGAGGTGTCCCCCCAGCCTTGCTGAACAGTAGCTCTGCGAAGCTCTTAGGGGTGGATAGCCCTTGTCCCCTGCCCCAGCAGGCCACTGATCCTTTAGTGAGAGGTCAAACATGAGGTACAAACAGCAAGTGGAGGTGTCAGGCAAATCCAGGTACCTTTACAGGTGCTCAGGGACCATACTTCATGGTGATTCAAGAACAGCTTTATGTACCTGTAATTCATGCTCTGGGCCTCCCACATCTGCATGCAACCTAATACAACAGTGAGTCTTTTCTGGCTTCAGTGTCCTAGTGGATATATGCAGAGTGGATGAGCCTGACCTGCTCGCCGCATCCCTTCCACACCTGTTTAGAATAGAGGCAGACAATAAAGCAGGGGCTGCTGGACAGGCTAGGGCTGCACCAGGAGGTGCACAAGGGAGGACTGGATGGCAGGACAAGCATGGTGTGCAGGAGGGAGGAGGGCCTCTTGCTGGAGCTGACTCTGGAGCCCAAGGCCCTGCTGCTGAATGACTATTTGACAGACTTCAAACATGTTGGAAGCCTGCCCTGCATTGGTCGCAGACTGTAGGCTGTAGGCTGCAGAAGGCATGGTTCATGCTGCTTTCCACAGTTCATTCCTGAGCCCTGAAGTTCACACCTCTCTGCTTCCAGGGTGCCATAGTGGAGAAGAGGATTCTGACCAAAGTGCACAGCAGGTTTATCGTGTCTCTGGCTTATGTCTTTGAGACCAAGACAGATCTCTGCCTGGTGATGACCATCATGAATGGAGGTGACATAAGGTAAAGGTTTTTTAGACATTGGGGTGCCCAGTTCATGTCAGGGTGGAACCCTGGAACTTACCTGTCATTGTAGTATCTCCATATATCTTCAAGAGGTGTTGGGGGCAGGTGACAGTGGGCATGTGGTGCTGTGAATGACTGTGGCCGGTATCTTGGATTGAGAGGGTCAGGAAGTGAAGATGAATGATATGGCTAGTCCTGTAGGGACAGAGTGCTGGAAGACTGGCAAGACCAGAGAGCCCAGCTTGCCTATTGCCCACAAGGGGAAGGATGCCAACCCTGATGGTACCTAAGTTGGCCATTACGCTGAGATTTGTCCTGCATCCCTGGGGAGGTCGGGTCACTGACTCTCACTAGCTAGGTCGCTTTACCACTTTTTGCCTCAGTTTCCTGTTCTGTAAAATGGAGATTAAATAATGCATGAGTGAGGAGGAAGAGATGGTGAGACCCTGGAGGTCCTGGGACAAAAGGTTAACATGGTAAGACCCTTGGGTACCTAGGACACAAGATTAGTACAGTGAGACCCTGGGGTCACCATGTTACCAGGGTGAGACCTTAGGGTACCTAGGACAAGAGGTTAACATGGTGAAACCCCGGGGCACCTGGGCATGTAGGGTGCCACTAAATGGAACTGTAATTTGCAAAGCCTTGTGCCTCTTCTTTCCTCTGCTTTTATTTCTATCACCGCTCAAGTGGGGCCGTCTGCCCTTTCCTCCCATGAGTCATTTGAAGTTCAGAAAATCAGGCTGTGAAAGTCCCTAAGAAGTGTCGTGTTAAGGGCAGGTATAACAGCTTGTGCAGGGGACACTGGGTGACTCTTTCAAGCACTACAGGTTTTTCTAGCCCCCCAAGTGGCCTCTGATTATCTTCCAGGCTCCTGGTCTGCAACCACTCTCCCTGCAGCTTAGGTCGTTTATGTCTTGCAGTCACAGGCTTTGCTTCCCTGTAAAATGCTGGGGTGGCAAGTTTAAGAAAGGACGCAAGAAAGGACAAATTCAGGGACCTGAGGAGAAGGGACTGGGAAGGAGGAGCCGCTGCCAGATCTACCCAGATGTTCAAGGTTGTGTGGAGTGGAGTGGCCCACACTTAAACACCTAGAGATTTGGAAGCTGCTTGTGTTTTGAGGAACCGAGGTTGAGCTCCTGTTCCTTGGCCCTGTCCCTGAACTTGCCTCTTGGCACAGCCCTGGGGTCAGAAGGAAAGAGGTAATTGGTGGCAAGCTTGTGCTCCCCTCTAGTAGTTGTGGGTAAGGTGTGAGGCATTTGAGGTCTGAGTTGCTGCCTTGACTTTCTCCAGAAGGCTGCTGAGGCCTGGCCCCAAGGTGACCATGTTATGCTGACATGTGTGTTCCCTGTAGCTCTAGCTCTGTGTTTCATGTTTTACACACATGGTGTGTGATTCCCATGGTGTCCTCCCCCAGGTACCACATCTACAATGTAGACGAGGAGAACCCAGGTTTCCCAGAGCCACGAGCCATCTACTACACAGCACAGATCATCAGTGGCCTGGAGCATCTACACCAGAGGCGCATCGTCTATCGTGACCTCAAGCCTGAGAATGTGCTGCTGGACAATGATGGTGAGCCAACGGCATGGATAGAGGTCATATCAGCCCTTAGGGGCCCCAGGCATGGCTTCTTCAACCACTTTGTAACAGTCACTGCAGAGGGGCCCAGTGGGTGTTAGAGTCTGAAGGACGGTGGTGTGAGCTGCAGCAGGTGGGATGCCTGAGTTATTGGTTTCCCACTGCTAGAAACTGCTGCAGGTTCACGGCCAAGTCTTCTTCCTCTTGTCACAATGTGATGTCACATGAGGACCTGACTAGAGCGTAGACATGGAGGTTCAACTTCTTCTGGGGGTCGAAGGTGAACCAGAGAACACAGATGGGTGTGAAGCTGCTGCTGTAGAGCTGGTAGGCAGAAAACAAAGGATATGGGTTTGGATGGATGATCTCTGTGCCCTAACCATAAGTCCTGGGCTCTCCACCCTTGGTCCTCTATAATCAGGCTAGGGAGGGTATGTGCACATGGAGTGTATGTCTCTTGTGGTATGTGTATGTGTATGAATGTAGCATGTGCATTGTGTGTTTGTAAGGTATGTGTGATACGCCTGTATGTGTATGATACATATTTTGGGGGGCTATATATATATGTGTATAGTGTGTGCATAGTATCTGATATGGCTGGGTGTGGTATGCATATGCATAGTACATGGATAGTGTGTATTGATGTCTGTGCAGAGAGGGACTGCTGAGTCCTTGAGTTACCTGGCACCTCTGCTCTGCTAAGTGCATGTGACCTCAGCTCATGTTTGCTTTTCAGGTAATATCCGAATTTCTGACCTTGGGCTGGCTGTGGAGCTGAAGGAAGGGCACAATAAGACCAAAGGCTATGCAGGGACCCCAGGTAAGGCCTGAGAGTTTAAGACTCACTCAGCATCCAAGAAGAGACCTGGGTTATCTTCTCTCCCAGGGACAGAGGCAGCAGGGTCCCCAAGGTCTAAGGTGGTGATACAGAGAGTGGGGGTTTTGGAATGTGGCTCCCTTATCTTCCAGAGTAAATGGAAATAATCAGGCTTCACCCAGCAGCTCAAGAACTGATTGTTCCCTGCAGGGACAGTCCCTACCCTGCCTTAGCAAACTCACTGGATCACCCTCTGAGGGAAAGATGCCCCTTTGGCATGATAGGCAGTGAGAGGACAGGGCCCACATACTAAGTCACTTCCGAGCATTGGCTGAATGAGTCTGTCCAGGGTCTTATGGAGGAATTGGAGCCCTGGAGGTAAGTGGGTCATATCCTAGAGCACTAGGGACAGTAAGTTTCCTCAGCCAGTATAAGCTTGGCTTTAGTAAAACCTTATAGGCATCCATCAATATGCAGGGTATGCACATGTGTGTCTCTGAGTGTGCATGCATAACTATATGTACACATTCTCACACGTGTGTGCTTGCACTTGTGTGATATACACAGTTATGTCTTGTAAATGTGTCTGTGTGTTCACATGGACGTCTTTGTGTGCAAGCACATGTGTGAATGTGCATGAGCCTATGCATGCGTGTGCATCTATGAATATTTGTACATCTGTGCATGTCTTGTCTGCACAAGCATGCAGGCACATTACTCCTTTTTGTATGCATGCATGCATGCATGTGTATAAGGCACCTCTCTAAATGCATATACTCATGCATAGCCCTGTGTGTGTCTTTGTGTGCAAGTATGTGCATGTGGGTGAGTGCACATATCTCCACGCATCTCTGTATGTATCTATGTGTGTGTGCATGCACATTTGAGTATATATTTGTGTTTGTATATGTATCTATGTGTAAGTGTAGGTACACATGAGGCCGTATGTCACATGTGTTTCCTGTTCCCTGTCTCATTGGTCTCCCTTCATCCTCCTCATGGGCAGGGAGGCAGGCAGCCTACATAGAGGAGAGAAGAAATCTGAGTCAGCTGGAGCATGTACATGGTCTAGGCCCATGCTTAGTGGCTGCACAATCTTGGATAATGTACTTAACTTGTTTGAGCCTTTGGCTCCAACATTTAGCACACAAGCTTGCTCTGAGGATGCTAAGTAACTACTGTATACCAGGAACCTGAAAAGAGTAGCCACATTTCATCTCCACATTCTGGATGGTCCTGAGTTTCCAGGCTGATTTCTGATGGCATATTCTGATTTCTTAGATATTTTCCTTCTTCTCTGGGCTGTTTGGCTTTGGAGAGAACTTAAGTTGTGATGTATACAGAGTGGCAATTGAGTCTTGCTTTGTGTCACAGAATCCCTAGGTCTCTATGCCTTAGTTACCATCAGGGACTATTCCTCATGCTACAATCTGTCTCTACCTGCAGCATGATTAGGGAAAGGGATAAGAACTTTTCCTTTAATTCTGGGGGAGGATAAATCTACACTAGCCTTTGAGAAGCATGTGCTCTTCTAGCCTGGGGCTTGGTAGCTGGTGGGTGCTAAGTGTATAGGCACAGGGTAAAGGAGGTCTGAGGAAAAGGTTCTGGAAACAGCTTGGCCTGTGGCCGTTTCACAGCCCTGTGAAGGCTCAGCTACACCTGCTTCCATGAGCTAGCCTATATCCCACTTGGATCTCTGTAGTCCTCTGCAAGTCCTAGATCCATTGAAGCAGGATTTGAAGAGTTTACAAGACCTAAAACTGGCCCTGCTCTGGACTGTGAGGCTCAGCTGGCCACCAGAGGGCACCATTGCCTGTGCCATCACCACCTTGCCAGCTTGCTCTTTATTCACTGCACATGCTGGACCACTGTGAGCATCCTCACACTGAGATCCCAATATAGGCTCTAGAGATGCTGAAGTTATGATGAAAACTAGAAGCTGGACGTCCACGAACCAGGAGCTCCTGTCTAGACGGTTCTCCCGTTCTGTAGTCTTCTAGCTCAGGCCCACCTGTAGGTTGTGCTCGGGTCCTGCACCATTGTCCCTGATGTAGGAATCTGTTCAGCACACCCTAGGTGGCTGCTGATGCCAGTAACTGGCAGGTGGGGTCATGATCCTCATCTGGGCATGGAAGAGAGGCTCCTCTGTCTTCTGTTTCCTGCCAGGAAGGCATGAGTCCATGGCAGAAGAAGCAGGGATCTACTTGCTCCCTTATCCAGTAACTCATGGGTGTCAGATTTGCAGCAAGATATGCATGAACCCTGGGGACACAGAAGGCTTGTCCTCCAGGTTGCACTGTTTGGGGTGGTCTAGAAGGGTCCTGTCCATCTATTCAGGAGATGAACAGATCCCTGCCACTTGGCGGGACCTTTCTCTTGGAGTAGAGTCTAGGAAACTCCAGGTTTAATGTTGAAGTTGTGAACAATTCTTTCTTGCAACCTGCGCAGTTTGGATGGTAATTTAATTCCTGAACAGACAGAACTTAGGAAGTTGTCTGGGGCATGACACTATGGAGTGTGAGTCCTGTGAGTTCTTTGAGGAAAGTGGCTCTCCCCACCCACCACCATAGAGATGTTGCAGGGAGTCAAAAGAACAGGTGGTTCCCCCCCAAAAAATAGATTCACAGGCTTGAGAACTCAGATGCTAAAACCCTTTCAGAGTTACCTACATACCAGCGAGAAGTCCATGCCCTGGAACTGGCCTGGCCACCACTGTGATGGGACTAACCTAGCACAGGTAAAACTGAGAAGCAGGGGGCCCCAAATATCCCTCTAGGGTGCAGGCAGAGCTCATGTTCCCATGTCCCTTGGCTAAGAGCAAGAAAAATGGAGGCTCTAACCTCCCTGGAGTCTGTCTGCTGAGCCTCTGCTTGCTGGGGGCAGCACCTTTTGTCTGGAAGTCAGGGACAGAACATGTAGCGGCCTAGAGCACAAGAACCAAGGTGGTCAATGGTCTGTATCCTTGTCCAGGCAAGCCACCAACATGTCCTTGTCTGTAAAGTAGTCAACAGCATCCCTGGAGGGAGGCACAGTTCTTGGCTGCTGGGTACCCAGCCCCTTCAGCAGGCTGGAGAAAGCCGCAACACAGGTGGCATTGTACCTGGGGGCTCCTGCCTGTGTAGACTCCTGCCTGTGTAGACAGTGAGGGGTGGGTAAGGAGGCAGCTGAGTGGAGTCTACAGGTTTCCCCCAGGAGGAGAAAATGAAACTGAGTAGGCTAGGAGAGCAGAGAGCAGAGGGGGTGCCCCTGCCTGTCATGGTATCAGTGCCCAGAGAGCCACCTTACAGAGTGTTGTAAGGAGCAACAATGCCAAGATCTTGCAGGACTGGGCAGGGAGTGGTGGGGCTCCTGTACTGTCTTGATCAACACCAGGTGGCTGGAGAATGCTTCCCTCCGCACCATCTCAACTCTCCCTCTAAAGGGAAAGAACAACTGTGGGGAGGCCAGAGTAGAGGGCTGTCTGAGAGGAGCTCCAGAGAGATTATCCCTCAGGGGATGGAGGATTTATGGTGAGGTCACACAGCAGACAGATGTAAAATCCACAGTACTCCAGCATGTCTAGACCAAGTTGCCACAGGATGACTGAGCGCATCAGACAAGGCATGGTACTCAACCACAGGCAGCTTGCTGTGGCAGTGCTGGGTATGAGTAGGCCAGGCATCTCCATCCTCCCCAATGGCTGGCTGACCCAAGCCCTGGGAGCTGAGCAGAGTGAACACACCTTGAATCTGCTGGTCTTTGGAAGTAATGCCACAGGTGTTCTCATGGATACAACTGAGGTCTGAACACATTGTTGTCTACTTTCCCCCTGAAGTCCCAGACAGTGGCTGTGAAGGACTTTCACTCACTTTCAGGACAGCATCAAGAAGAGGAGGTGACAGCATTAGCTTTGGGCCAGCAGCTGAAAGCCTCCACCTAGCAAGCCCCCGTGCTTCCCCACCCCCTCCCTAGCAACCCTGCCTCAGCCCTCAGCCCTGCCTCAGCTGCCTTATCTTGCCTTCCACAAGAGCAGTCAGGACAATATGACTCATTGCTGACATTCAAAGTGAGAGGAGACAGGAGACAATAAAAGCAAATATTCAGACAGCATTAGAAAATAAGGAACGTGGTAGAAACGAAATTATACATAAGAAGATCTGGAGGATAGTCGAAGTTGATTCAGAAAGTAGATTACAGTGTGGTGGCACACACCTTTAATCCCAGCACTTGGGAGGCAGAGGCAGGCGGATCTTTGTGAATTTGAGGCCAGCCTGGTCTACATAGCGAGTTCCAGGACAGCTGGGGCTACAGGGAGACCATGTCTCAAAAAGACCAAAACAAAATAAAACAAAACAAAAAAAGATACACAACAAGAGAAGCACAGAGGTGGTGGAGACAGCCCAGGCAGTAAAGCGCTTGCCACACAAGCATAGGACCTGAGTTTAGATTCCTGGCACTCACATAAGGAAGTGGGTATGGTGGCACATGCCTGTAAATCCAGGACTGAGGAGGTGGAGACAGGAGGATCCCTGGAGCTCCCTGGCCAGCCAGCCTAGAGAATGAGCTCCAGGCTTAGTGGAAAACCCTGTCTCAAGAAACAAGGTGGAAAGGGATCGAGGAAGATAGCAGTGTCAACTTCTGACCTCCACATGCACATACATGCATTCACACATACACACATACGGGAACATGTACTTGCCTCTCTCTTACACACACACACACACACACACACACACACACACACACACCAAGAGATAAGCACAAGAAAGCTGGAGACTAATCCAGAAAGTTCAGTGTTTAAACATAACCAAAGAGAACAGAAGGGGGCTTGTGAGGGTACTTCAGGAAAATCTCCAGGATGGACAGAAAGGTTTCCATTCTAGCACTCTTGCAGGGATGGCAGTAGACCTGAGACGTCACCAGAGGAATTCAGCTTCCAGAATTGATGCCAGGGCTCTCAGGAAGGATGGAGGTCAGGAGGGCCTGACCGTCCCAGAATAAACAGTAGGGGTAAAAACAGGAAATAAAAATCCAGAGAGGAAGTGCTTGGTCTAGGGCCCTATCCCATTGATTCAAGGTCTAGGCGAAGTAAAGGCATCTCAGAAAGGAAAGCTCTCTTAAAGATGTGCTTCCTGGGGCTCTTCCTCCAGAGAGGTCACATGAGCAAAATGATCTGCTACTACGGTAGGGAGCAGAGGCACTGGGGTTCTCAAGACATCGGAGACCCCAGCCTCCTGTGAAATCCAGACAGGAGGGAGAGAAGGTTCTAGAGGACTCAGGCTGGGTAACATGAACATATGTTTTATGTCAGAACAGGGTGGAATATCATGCCAAATTTGTTAGACGCACATAGGAAACCAAGCAAATGGGGAAAAGACAATGTCATTTACAGTGCCCCCAAAATATGTAATGGGGGGGTGACATAATTGAGGTGTAGCTTGGCATAGCTGGGAGTGGATTGTGGTGAACATTGGTGGCTGGTGGTGTTTTGGAGGGGAGATATCCTGTGTATAGGTCTGCAGGGGGTATTCAGCAACTCACCTTTCAGCAAGGATATCAGGGGGCCCAGGAATGACTCCACAGCCTTATGCGGAGTTATCTAGATGAATGGGAGGAGAAAGGTCAGATACTCTGTGTAGAGCCTGGGTATCAATGTGTGTGCTGGTGGGGAGGAGGGAATGACTTTCATATACGGTCAAGATGTGAACCAGTAACTAGGAGGACTAGGAAGGCTGTGCTTGGCTGGAAGGCCACACACAGTGTCCTAGTTTGTTTCTTCATTGCTGTGACAAAATACTCTGACCAATACCAACTTGGGGAGGAAAGGGTTTATTCAGCTTACATCTCCCAGGTCACAGTTCATCAGGGAGCCCAAGGTAGGAACTCAGGGCAGGAACCTGGAAGCAGGAGCGAGAGCACAGACCATGGAGGAATGCTGCTTTACTGGCTTGCTCCCCTGGCCCCTGCTCAGCCTGCTTTCTTATGCAACACAGGCCCACCTGCCCAGGGGTGGCACCACCCACAGTGGACTGGGCCCTCCCACATCACTCATCAAGAAGATGCCCTTGGCCACAGGCCATTCCAATAGAGGCAATTCTCCGATTGAGGCTCCCTTAACCCAGGTGTGTCAAGTTGCCACTAAAGCTATCCAGCACACACAGTGGCTGAGAGCTCAGAGGGTAAACTTGGGGCCCTGTTTCCTAGAGCCTTTGTCCTTATCCTAAGGCCACTGTCTCACTATTTAATTGATCACTTACTTCTTACTTCTTATTGCTGAAAGCTAAAGCTGAATGTGATGTGTCCCCTGGACCTCGAGAGAACTCAAGCATCATCGTGGATACTGATAGAAGGCTCATATTATCAGGGACAAAGTGTTTTGGGGAAGGCACAGGACTGTCACCTCACCAGGATTCCTCAGGCTTTGACCACAGCACCTGGTTCACTAGGACCACTTGGGATGACCTGGCACAGATCTCACTTTTGTGTCCTTGAAGAAAGAGAGGAGTGAGGAAGTCACAGCAGGACCTGTTTACATCTGTCCACCTCACGAGTCACACACACACTGTCCTGCTTCTGTGGTGTGTTTTGCACTGTCCTAGTCTGAGGTAAAGGGAAAAGGAGGCGTTACAACACATGTGTGGAGCAGGATTCTCAGTTGGGACAACCCTGCCCCCAGGAAATTTTGGCCACGTTGGAAGACATTTTTGGTTGCTTTAACTGTGGGGTGCTGTGGACATCCTATGGGTGGCAGCTAGGCTTCTGTTCAGTCTCCTGCAATGACAACAAACAGGTTCCTGCCCCATGTAACACTGGTGCTGAGACACCCTGAGGCATCACCAGAGCTTCAGTTCTGAGATTACTTGTTAAGAACTGTGCTGAGGGAAAGCAGCCGCATCTCTGAACCCGCATGTATTCATGCTGGCAGGTTTCATGGCCCCTGAGCTCCTACTGGGCGAAGAATACAACTTCTCTGTGGACTACTTTGCCCTGGGGGTCACACTGTATGAGATGATTGCAGCCAGAGGACCCTTCCGAGCCCGAGGGGAGAAGGTAGGTGCTGCCCAACAGGGGTCCCCGAAGGGGTCTGTTTCCTGGGCAGACATGGGTGTTGGGGGGTACTGAGTGAGGACTGTGTGAGGGGTGCAGGCTCTTCTGTCCCAAGTCTTCCAGTTTTTGAGCTGTAGGTGGAGCTGTTGAGAGGTTCTAAATCTGTCCTTTAGCCCCAGAGCCAGCAGGTGGCAGAGTAAACATGCTTTAGCAGAGACTGGGCAGCTCTCCCTGGTGCAATGGCAGTGTTCATTCAAATTCCAAGTGCTGTGCTTGCTCTGACCATGCCTATCAGAAGGTGATGAAGGTGCCAGCTACACAATGGAGCATCTCTGGGGAGTGAGCGCACTGTGCCTACCATATTCTTACAGGTGGGGGTTGGGGGAGGTTTGTGTGGGAGCCTATGCTATGGTAGAGTGAGACCTCTGCTCAGCTGTCCTTTCTAGCACTCTCACTTCTGTCCATTCTCAATGGAATAGCTATGTAAATGTATGAATAAGTTGACCAGCACTCTTAAAAACACCCTGCATAGGGGCTGGAGAGATGGCTCAGCAGTTAAAAGCACTGACTGCTCTTGCAGAGGACCTGGGTTCGATTCTCAGCACCCACATGACGGCTAACAACTGTCTGTAACTCCAGTTCTGGGGGGAATCGAGCGCCTTTTTCTTACCTCTGCGGGTAATGCACAACAGAGGTGCACTTACACACATGCAGGCAATACACTCATACACATAAAAACAAAAATAAAACAAAACAACCAAAAAAATCACCCTGTATCCAACTTGCTGGCTGGGGGCTTCACCCTGGGATTTTATTCCTTTGTCCTGAGATCTAAGTTCTTTCAGTGCCAAGCACTTGGGAGGAGCCCATTGAGGCACCATCAGCCACTTCCACCCCAGTGAGAGTGAGCAACAATTCCCAAGCCTTTAGGCTTGGCAAGGGCTCAAGTGAAGCTGTCATGTCTGCCTGCCCTGCAGGTGGAGAACAAGGAGCTCAAGCAGAGGATCATCTCTGAGCCGGTCAAGTATCCGGACAAGTTCAGCCAGGCCAGCAAGGACTTTTGTGAGGCTCTGCTGGAGAAGGACCCAGAGAAGCGCCTGGGCTTCCGGGATGGGACCTGTGACATGCTGCGGACAAGCACCCTCTTCAAAGACATCAGCTGGAGGCAGCTGGAGGCTGGTATAGGGTTGGGGCCTGGAGAGTTGGTGCTGTGTGACCCTCGATGGCCTGTCTTGTTTAGTGGCCACAAGATTGGCAAAGCAGAAGGCTCACGGGACTCCAGCTAGCCTCTTGCTACCCACTCAGTCCTCTGTTCATCTCCAGCATTCCAGGACTGGGCACTGGGGTCAGGAGAGTTGAAATCAGGTGGGATGCCTAGGGAATAAGCTAGTGTTGCTCTGGGCCTGTTGTGGTGTTTCTCTCTTCCATAACCAGTACCCTAAAGATCCAAAAGTGCAAGTGAGGCTGGGTTTGTCTGCTTGGGAGAAAGACGCTCACTCCACAGTGTTTGTAATGATATTGCACACACAGAATATATGTGTGCGTATGTCCATGTATATGTAGCTGCCTATGTATGAACCCATGCATGCACATGTATGGATGTGTCTGTGCTCATATGTACTTGCCCATGTGTTTATGTGTATTATGTTCACATGTGTCTGTGTGTTTATTTGCATATGTACTTGCCTATGTATTCAGGCATGCACACATACTCATGTGCCTGTACACATGTGTGTTTGCCTGTGTTTGACCATGTCCACTGTATGCCTGTGTATGTTGTATATTGCAGGTGTGTTTGTGGACCCCTGTATATGTCTGTGCATGTGTATATGCAAGGGTGAGTGTAAGGCACAGTCTCCTTTCCAGAAGTCTGTGCACAGAGGAAGAGCTGGGTGGCATTTTCAATATAACTATGATCGATTATAAGACAGGAACCAGGAGTCACAGGGAGGAACATGAGATGCCCCCAAGAGAAGTTACTTTTGGATGGAAGAGCTAAGCAGTTGCTCTGAAGGTGGGCACTACTTGGCAGAGCAGTCAAGATGAAGGTCTGAGGAACCCCTGAGGCAAGGAAGGGTGCTGCCTGGGAGTGGGGGCTCTGATACCCAGGAGGTTTGAATCAGGCATGTTGGGGAAATCCAGGCAAAGAGGTCACATTTACATGCCAGCAGCCAGCCTGGATCACCATAGGCCCATTGGGAAGCTAGAGCTGGTGGGTCCTGTTCATCAAGGTCACAGGGCAAGGTCACAGGACTAGATCAGAGTATGCCAAGGAAGTCAGAGAAGGGGGCTGGCTGGGTGGCACCTGAGCTCCTCAAGATCAGCATTCTGCATCTGGTAACTACTGTGCCTGTCAAGGGCTGGGGACGGAGGAGGCAGAGTTCAGTTTGATGTCTGTCACCATGATGCCTACCTGAGGCCAGGCAAGAGCTCTGAGCCTGAGGCTACAAAGAAGTAGAAGATGTCATGTGAGGGGCCAAGGGCCCTAGTGTGAAGGGTTAGAACAAAATGCTTCACTCATGAAGTGACTTTAGGGGAGGGTCTATCTACGGACTTTAGGGGACAGTCTATCTACGGACGGTACAGTGGCAAGCACTGGGATTTATTAAAAAGAGGCTTCCTAGCTGGGCACCACAGCACTGGGGAGGCTTAGGGATGCTGGCTTTTTCTGCTGGCCCTAGGAAGAGAAGGAGGGTTTTTGTGTATCCATGGGGACTCCTTGGCTGTGTGCCCCACTCATCATAGGCATCTCTGGTCTGTCTCCTATCTCCTCACAGGGATGCTGATCCCCCCATTCATCCCAGACTCCAAGACTGTCTATGCCAAGGACATTCAGGACGTTGGTGCCTTTTCCACAGTCAAGGGCGTGGTGTTTGACAAATCAGACATAGAGTTCTTTCAAGAATTTGCCTCTGGCAACTGCCCCATTCCCTGGCAGGAGGAGATGATTGAGACAGGTATCTTTGGGGACCTGAATGTGTGGCGCCCGGATGGTCAAATGCCAGATGACATGAAGGGAATAACCACAGAGGAGGCCCCTGCATCCAAGTCAGGAATGTGTCTGGTCTCCTAGCCAAGTGTCTGAGGTGAGCAAGGAGCCGGCTGTGTAAGGAGAGGAAACTCCACAGAGCTCATGGGAGGAATGTGACTTTGGTGTCAACCTGTGCCCACTCTGCCCATGTCCCTATGCAACCATGTCTCCCTCTGGAACAGGGAAGAGACTTTGGGTCAGGATCCTACAGACTGGACAGTCAACTTCTTTTTACCCTATTTCCTTCAGAGAGACAAAAGGATTCCAGATTGAATAAGCCAACAAGGTATAAATGCTCAAAAAGCCCCGTGTAGATATGCGTGGACCATGGGTTTGGATGGTCTAGGCAACTGAAACCCACACTCAGCATGGATTTCCCAGTACCTTGAGCTAATGTCTCTAGGAAGACATCTGGGTAGGATTTTTGCTCCCAGTCAGTTCCGGGGTTACAGGCACTCATGCACCCCAAAGAGGGCTGGACTCAGTACCTGCTCCAGATCCCTTCTTGCCTGGTTCCTGACTCCTCAGCTGCCTGCACTGGTTTTGCCACATACCTCAGGGACCTAACTATGGGATATTGAGGCTTCAGGGAGTAGGAAGGATAGAACCACCTGGTCTTAGCTGGGAGTCACTGCCTACCCCCAAGAAGTGGAGACAGCTGCTTCCAACAGTCACTGTCTCTGTCTTTAGTCAACACCACATAGTCACTGTCTCTGTCCTCAGTCAACACCAAATTCTCACATAGTCATGCCACCTGTGGCGGGGGCCCAGGCCTTTCACAGTCATGTTACAGATTTTGGATGCCTGCCTGTGTCTTCAGATCATCTTTGTGCCACCAGCTCCTCCCTGCTTGTGAGGGAAGTGACCTACAGCCAATGATTTTGGAACATTGCTGGCTACAGCCAACACTGGGACCCAACACCACCATCCAGGCAACACCTATAAAGAGAAGATCAGTGTTCCCTGAGCTGTGTGGGGCATAATACCTGTCAAGAACATGTTACCAATGAACCCCAGGCGAACTGCATTGTGGAGGATTCCATATGTTGCTGTAGAGCTGCCTTGCACACATGAAGATGTCCTAGAGAAAGATGTTGGATGAAGAAGAAGCCCTTACAGGGACTCTGCTCTTCTCTGAGTGTTTGACACTGTAGAGCTGTGATGTACTCTAGAAGGGCCTTGGGGAGGTGTCCATGCCTCTTGGACCATGGGACCCCTTGGGGCCCAGTACTCTTGTGGCTGATGAATGCTGAGTATTGTTGGTAAGACAAATCACCCATCTACATCCCCTTCCTCTCTGTTATCTACAGCACCACACATGGATCAAACACTGACTACACATTTTATTTTACTATATTCTGGAACAAAAGCAATTCAGTTTCTGACATCTCTGGGCCCATTTTAATATGCTTTGGGCTGAGGGCCCTGGCAGCTGGGTCCTGGGCTTCACTGGGGTCAAGAAGTCTGGAAAGGGCAGATTTCAGCAATCACAGCCACACCAGCTGTCATCCCTTTGTGGCCTGCCCAGTACTGACAGACCTGAATGTGGATGTCCCAGTGGCTTCTTAGACTCAGTGTCAGGGTCTCACCCTGGACTGCAGACAGAGTGCAGTATACTCAGCCCAGTTTGAATTTAAGAAAAACAGCAAATAGTTTTTTAGTGTAAATATGTCCAATCAATATTTGGGACAGACTCATACTAAAACTCTTTAATTGTTTGTCTGAAATTCAAATTTTATTGGATGCTCTGTAGGTCTTTTAAAAGTCTAAATCTGGCCAGCCTATTGCAGATTCTGCATTTAATCTGTACAATAAGCAGTGGTTTCATAGACAAGCCAATCTGCTGGGATGGACCTGCAGGAGCCGTGCTGCCTTGCCTTCTGCTGTCTTTTTGGGTCTGATTCAGTGAGGTCTTTCTCACTCTGGCCAGCTCATACACACATGCTAGAATGTCATGCAGAGAAACATGTCCCAATGCTCAGTCAGTGAGCCCAGGCATCCAGCCACTCTGTCCCTGGATGTATATCCAGGACACTTCTGGTCCCATCAGTGACCTCCACACGGACTGGCTTAAGTGAACTTGCCAGGTGGGTGGACAGTGTCTGATGAAGAGAAGGGGCAGCACTGACTGGAAGTGGGTGAGTTGCTGGCTCTGTGCCCTCTGGGAGGACATTTCAGCTGGACTTATTGTCCAAGAGTTTCTTTGACAGTCTTCGGGCACCTCTGCTGTGAGTTGTCTCTCAGGGGCAGTAGCTCTCTGCCCTGACCAAGAGATGTCTTCCATTCCCACTGTCCCTTCTTCATTCTAGAACTTGTCGACTTCTCAGCCTTAGAACTCTAGACTCCTAGATCTTACTTAGCTTCTGCCTGGACACTGCTCCAGGGAACTGCAACTCGCCCACTTAGTTTCTGGTAGTTGCTGGCTTCCTTGATTATAATCTCCCAGGGAGGCAAATAGTAGAGGTCCACCACCAGTAGCAGGAGCCCATGGTCGCTACTTACTCTAAGCCTGTGTTAGGGCCAGTGCTGGACTCTCTGCAGGGAAGTCCTGAGTTCTAATCCTTTATAAATTCAATAAGAGGAGCATCCCTAGGATAGGAAGCCCACATGGAAGTCCTGTGGGACTCAGTTTCTGGTATTAGTCATCTTGCACCCTGGCCAAAGGCACACTGTAAAAGGCTCTACTTCTAACTGCCTGGGGACATATAACTGTGGTGAGATCATGACTCTCTTCATTTCTGCAGGAGTCTAGTAATTCTCCACCCCTAGGACAGGCTTGGCTGAGGAGGTACCCAGAGATACTGCCATCAGGAATGACTGCACTATGGCTTTTGTTTAGTAAAAAGAAAATGCTATTGTTATTCAAGCAAAAAAGGATAAAAAACAAAATTTAAAAAGGGGAAGATTCCTTGGATTTTGATATGAATTTCAAGTAGCTTTTTTTCTTCGAGTTTATATATTCAAGTGCACAAACCTACATATGAACACATTTACAAACACACCTAAACATATATGTATACCACACATATAAACTTACACACAACCTTTACATACATGTGCACACACCTCTACATAAATGCATATATGCATATTCCCTACATATACATCTATACACATACACCCTCTCAAACATACATACATACCCACATGGACATAAACATACATACACATACATGTACCCTACACCCATGACATGCCCCTATATATCCATCTATTCCCATATATACACACTTATATACTTGGAAACATCTTCACACACCTACTCATATAGATGCAATGTACATGCACCCCTATACACAAGTGCATATATCCACAAACACACCCTCCAACATACACGCACCCCACAGTACTGCATATATACATGCATATATGCTTCTATACACTGACATAAACACGTAGTCTTATGCACATATGCACACATAAATACTCATATTCATAATCTCTATACACATACTTATACCCCTAACATATGCATACAAACAGTCCCTGTGCACATATATACATATGTACATATATGAACAACCCCAACATAGAAGCACATAGACACTTCCTATACACATATTCTTACATATATACACATCTTCATCCCTACATATGCACAGATACCTCGAAACACATGTACACTCCCATATACAAATACCCCTCAAGTACCCCCGTATACTTATATACACACAGAGACTCTAACACACACACACACACACACACACATACACACACAGATACACATATACAAGCACCAAAATAGGTCCATAATCGTCTCCCTGTGCTACTTGATCTTAAAGCCTCCCTGTCCTGTCCTGTTGTCAGGCATGGCTTTTGGGGTACCTGCACTTACCTCCTGCTTTCATCCAATAGCAGGTCCTGTGAAGCTCATAGGCCCTGGTATTTGGGTATATAGCCTCCGGTGTTGCAAACCCTCCTCACACTCCTGATGAAGACCTTGCTGATGATCTGTGTGGAGGCCAGAACCTTCTCAGAGGCAAGGGAGGCTGACTCTACTTCCAGGAGAGCCAGGGATTTACTGACACCAGTAAGGCAGGATGGGGTTCTGACTAGCACAACAGTGACCAGAGATCATGGATACTCAGCCTGTCTGTGTTCAGTAATGGGAAACCCTTGGAGTCAAAGCATTTGTACCAGACACTGGAGAAACACAAAACAGAAACAGACAAGGTGATCAGGCCGGGTTGGGATGCCTACCTGGGTTTAAACTACTTAGTCAAAAAGAATGATCATTTGAGCCAGGAGTTCAAGCAGCCTGGGCAGCATAGTGAGGCCTGTTTTCAAAGAAAAAAAAAAACAGACAAGGCAGGTAGGCTGGGTGATCACCTGTTCCTGTTTGTCCTCTGGTCCCTGGACTTGACCATGAGCCCCTTGAAGTGAGCAGACACTCCTGTGTCTCATATCCTCTGCCACGTGGTGTCTGCACACTCCACAGATATTCATTCAACAGAGGGACAGATGATTCTGAAGCCCCACAGTTCCCATAAATAAGAGTTAAGCTTTTCCATTCCTCCCACCAGCCCACTTATCTGTAGGTGAGGCTCTGCATAAAATAAGGCCTGAGACTGGACAAAGAGGACATTTGGGATTGGTGGTCATCTAGTGAACAGCTGGGCTGCTGTGTCCGCTTTCACAGCTTGTGTGCAAACTGGATTTGGAGTTTATTCTTGCCATTACCAAGGATGATGAAGTTCTTCAAGGGGCCTTGCAACTTTTCCCAAACTAGTGGTCTGGAAGGCTGAGTGCTCAAGTCCCCTGCTGTGGTTTGATGAGGGTTTAGTGTGTCTCCCGAAATCTGTGTTTTGGAAGTTGGTATCTAGTGATGTGGGTGGTGGTGGGACCTTTAAGAGGCAGACTAGCGGGAAGTAGTCTTTGGGGGTGCTGTCCCTGGAAAGGTTTAGTTAGTTCTGTGAGACCCTGTCCGGTCTCTGAGAGAGTGGGTTCTTCTACAGGAGTGAGTCTGACCCCTGAGCCCCTGGCTTCCTTTCTGTCCACACATTCTCTCCCTGTTGCATGTTCTGTTAGTTGAGTTCATTGTG